GCCTAAACCTGCATGTTTGCATGGAGGAGTTTGAAGAAAACTGGAAAGTTATGTAGAAATATGATAGACAAAGAGGAGGTCTGCACTAAGATTGTAGTGAGTTTGTTTTTTTGCTTGTTTGTTCTGGTACCTGGAATCGAACTCAGAACCTTCCACTTGCCAAGCAGGCCGTTGTGCCGCTGAGCTATCTCCCCGGCCTGCTAAGATTGTAGTAATAATAAGCTAAGGGAACTTCTTAGGTCTGTTTTTTTCCAGATTCTTCATGTCCTCTAGATGTAAGCAGAACTGTTATGGGAGGTCTTAAAATTACCTTTAGGGGATTTAAATCAGGGAAATTCCCTGTGACCGTGTTTCAGGATGAAGGGTATGAGACAATGAGAGGGAACCTCCACTCCTGTAGTTTCTCAGTTTTCTTCATCTTAAAATACCTAGCATGACGATGAGGAGCTCCACTTTAGGGTATCATGACCAGAGCCCAGACATATATTACTACTTTTTTAAGAACGTTCTGAATCACTTATCCAGGATTCCCATATGGCACAAAAATTTAAAATAGACACTCACTGAAGCCTACTACGTACATTTGTGAACTACTCATAACACATTTCTAAACTAGCTTTTCTTATGCTGTCCTATTGTTCTTGGTCTCAGGGCTTATCTGTGAACCTGTCTTCCTGGTTGCACCGCTCCACGGTGATAATTATGATTAGTTCATTGTGCTGTTACCAAGAGGCTACTGCTGCCTTCCTTTGTCCAATAGATAGTTGTATGTTAGGAGCAGGTAAACATTCCCTTGTTTAAGAAATTTGCAGACACAGTTTGAGCTGTAAAAAGCCACAGGCATAAGAAAGCATTGGGGCTATAGAAAAATAACACCCCAAAATATGACACTATGGCATACTGAGTACAGTACTTTAAAGTGAAGGACATAAACAAGTGTTAGAGAGCTTCTCTCTGACATTTTCCGTCCATCCTATACACTCCCCGACATATTCCCCATGCAATTCACGGAACCAGACTTGCTCTTCTTCAAAGTAGTCATAAAAACTGGAAATAGTATTCTGACCTTCATCTACCTTTACTGGCAATAAGGAAATTCTCTGACCTACTTTGTCTAGTCTTACCCGGAAGTTGTTGCCCCACACCTGAATGAAGGAATGCAATACAGAGAGATAAAGATGGGTATATGCCAGGCATGGTGGTACATAGCTATAATCCCGGAACTCTGGGATGCCAGGGCAAGAGGATGACAATTTCAAAGGGAGCCTGGGCAGTTTAGCAATTTATTGAAACCCTGTCTCACAATCAAAAATAAAAAATAAAAAACTCTAATAAAGAGCTAGGAGTATAGCGCAGTGCAGAGGCTCTGGATACAAATCCCAGTACTGCAAAAGAAGGGGAAGAGGAGATAAGCCCTGCCAGGTTGGCCCTTCCTGTCTGCTACCATTGGACAGTAACCTTTGCCCAGCCATAGTTACCTCCTGTCAGTTCACCCCCATTTGTGCACTAGCTTGTTACCGCCTATTACTACTACTTGGAAGTGTCATATATGACTCTTCATAGCGGAACATTCCTCATCAAACCTAAAAACAGTTTTCCCTGGGTCTGTGAGTCTTCATGTTTTGTGAACTTCTTTTCTTTTCCGGGAGTGGCTGAGTGGCCTTTGCAGTGGGGAGGAAAGGTCTCATACCCCTCCAGCCTGAGGAGCCCTCATCCACCTAATTCAGCAATGTGCAAGGAGAAAGTGGGTGCATGTTGCTAGAATTGGGGGGTTCTTTGGGCGGTACTAGAGAGTGATCCCAAGAGTGGTCAAGCATGATTTCAGCCCCCTTTCAGTTTGTCAGAACCCTAAGAAACAAGACTCTCGTTCCTGCTCTTGCGCTGGGCGGCAGTGAAGAACACACACGTTTCCTTCAGCTGTGCCCTCATCCCGGCCTGCAGGGCGGCTTCAGCCTCCCTTCAAACAGCGGTTCTGCGCACGGAGCAGTGCAGGCGCTATGGACCCTGCCTCTTGTCCACAATAAAATGAGAAAAATAAGAACGATGAGATTATACATGCGTATACATGCAGCAGACTTATCCCGGGGCTCACGTGTATTTTGGGTGGTGGAGGAGAAGAGGTGAACAAAGAGATTGGCATTTCTGTTGTAACAGAGGAACACAGACAATGAGCAGAAGAATCCTATAGATCCGGGTAGTAACAAAGTCCTTGAAGAAAAATAAGGCAAGAGACCTGGAAGTGGGGAAGGGGAGGGTTTGCGGGCACTTGGGCTGGGGAGAGGGGGCTTCTGCAGTGCGGTTGGAGAAGGCCCCCTTCTGTGGTTAGCTTTGAGTGGGGAGCTCTGTGGGGCTCTCGGGAATAGATTTCCAGTCAGTGCAGCGCGGAGCAGTGCAGGTGGGAAGGGGCTTGGCGTGTTTCAGGAACTGGCTGCGTCTCAGGGCCTTTGTGGCACGGTGGTGAAGCGGTTGCCCGCTCCTCATTCTGGAAAAGGCGGTCTTGTACGCTGAGATTACGGCTTCCCCGCGCCCCGCTGCACCTCCACTGGTGTTAACATGTCCTTTCTCTTAGGAAAGGCCGTAGACCTCAGCGTTAGCAGTTATTGGTGGCTTTTGTTGTTCTTTTTTTAAACAGCCTAACTTGGCAATATAAAATGTTGGCAGCCTCACATTGTTCTCTCTCTCTCTTTCTTTTCTTTCCTTTCTTTTTTTTTTCCCTCTGAACTGATTCATGAAATACAAAACTCTTAAGCGCTGGCTTAAGACATGTGCACCAACTGCCAAAGCTCCCCATGGCCGCGGTATACAGCATCTTCACCGGCTCCTCAGAATTTATGTTTGTTCTGTTTTACTAATTTTGGTATGCGCTACGTTATGTTCCAGGTTTATTCGGAAAGAACCAGAAATGCTATGCTCCCAAACTTCACATTTTATACGTGGGGTTTATTTTATTTTGTTTTTAACATGAAAAGGTGGTAGTAAAAAGTACCCATGATTCTTTAATAAAACAGCATGTCAGCAGAGCAGGTACGGGAAATGGGGGGCCTCCCAAGAACTTTTATAGTCTGACATCAAAATTAAATTGGGATGTGGAGAACATCTGGAGTGATCCCTCTTTTGTCTCCCCCGCTCCGCCCCACCACCAAGTTTTCCGCCCTGTTTATTTGGTGTTTGTGTTTTAGGGGTAATGTGGACAGCGAGGAGAAACTATTTTTTTCCTTTTTCTTCTTCTTCAAGGGGGGAAGAGAAAAACCAGACATTTGCAAGGGGGTTGACGACTAGTGGCCAGCATAACAAAGAAACCCCACTAAGCCTGACCGCAGCCTGACAGAATAAAAAGTGAGTCCAGGGCGGCCACTCACCGCAAATCCCCATGAAGCATGCCAGGAAACCAGCTGAAAGCTGGAGAGAGGCTGCCGCTCAAGGGCCACAGAGGTGGCCCCCTGAAACCTTCGGGTCCCATTCACATTCAAAGCTGGGGGCGGGGCGCAACCGGCGGTGGAGAGAATTAGCCCTGTGATCACTCGCAGGCTTATGATGGAGCTGATTTCACATGCAAAACCGCATTCCATTGTAAACACAGAGACAAACTGGAAGCAGAGAGGAAATAGGATTTCATTTGGTGATTTTCAATTTTAGGATTGAAATGGGGATGGGAAATCAAGGCTATTTATTTTTCCCTGAACTGACATTGCCTGTTCTTCTTATTTTTTTTCCGTAGGATCAGTGAACGTGGACTGATAGATTATGTCTTTGGGCTTCAATGCTAATAAGGCATACTTCCCACAGAATGTGACAGAAAGGATGAATACCTTGCCCCACTAATGGTTAATTTGTAGTGGCATGTGTATTTCTTGAATGTTCCTGAAGTTTTCTAATTCATCAGCACACAATTGGGCTTTTCTCCCTCCCTTTTAAACAGAATGAAATGCCGGAGAGGGCAAGAGGTTTGGGGATGTTGTATTATCCCTCAGCCAGTGTATTTACTACCCAAAAGTTATTGCTAACTTTTCTCTACCTCAGGAACAAAATTGGGCTTCAGCAAATAATTTAGTACTGACCACACTTTAAAATGTTTATTGCTGTCGAATCTGCCGCAGATTGATTGCATCAAGCCACAGCGATGCTAATCTATCTCATGTATTTGAAACTCCTCTGGGAAACATATATTTGGGCTCACTGCTGAGTGAACATGCTGTTAGGATTATGGAGACCCTACATAGTGAAGAAAAGCAGCATTGCTTTTCTGACTGCAAAGTAAACAATAGGGCGATTGTCAGCTTACACATTGGGGCCAGCAGCCCCACTGCTGAGGAGCTGTATGTAAAACCCAGGATCAGCAAGCAGTCCTGATGTTTTCTTCTTGAAGCTGGATGTTGTCAAGGATTCAGATGAGCCACCCCAGTGAGTATGCAGGAAACAAAACAGGATATTCTTGTTGAAGGACTGCTTTCTGTAATTATGTTGATTTTTTTATGCAACACTTGAACTTTTAAAAAACTCAAGGATGCATGAGAAGTACTCCCCAGGAGCACAAATAATTGGGCATTTTGTCTTAAGTGAAATGTTATCCTGCATTCTTAACGAAATTAACTTGTTTGTATTTGTGACTGGGGGTATGAATTAAGTATACTTAGATCCTGCCTGTTGTGTGTCCATTCCCTATCACCTACTACCTCCATCACCTGCTACCCATCCCCCCCCCACCCCGGCCCCCGCCTATTTCCAAACAGGAGGTCAAGTTGTCTTTGGAACATCATATTTCCTGCTTGGAAAAACCACTGGATTGTATAATAGTCTGACAGGAAAGTTTCAAGAGTGCCTGGAGTTTCCCCTGGAAGACTTGAGGGCCAGGGTGTGGGGGATGTGTCGCATCTGTAAAGCTTCCCTTTGAGCTATCACGAGCTGTCCTATTGTTGTATACACAACGTCTTCAGGATGAGCTAAACCAAACTGTAAATACCGCGAGGAAAAACATCTTTGCAAATGTGTGCCCTGGGCTTGCTGGGTTCATTGTGCTTTCTCGGATGTCCGCCCTTACTGAGGAAGGAATGTCTGGCTCGGGGCGCTGCTGGTTGACGCTATCAGGCTACAGACATCCGGTCACTCCTTCCCCATCCCCACAGCAACTCTGCGTAGTAGAAGAGAGATGTCACATATTTGTGTGCCAAGAAATTTGATTTAGTGACAATTATTTGCCCTCAATTTAAGAGAATTACTTTGTGCTCCTTTTCTTTTATTTAATCAAAATGCTGTGCAATTTCCTATTTCACTTGAATAATTCTCATAATTTTACAACACAATGAAAGGATTATAGATTAGTGCAGTTCAATCTCCTCCATAGCCTCCTTATTTCTCTAAGATTCCAATCCACAAAAGGTCATTGACATCATAATACTTCCAGGCCAAGGACACCACTAGGTCCTTTGCTGGGAAAGCACCTAAGCTGAGTGATCTTATTCCGACGGACATGGGCCAGAATTTTAACCGTTGTGATTTAGTGGAGAAATTCGAATGTTAACTGGCACACTGCGGGAATAGTGACCTCGAGTGCTGCTGGGAGTCAGCCCACCTGCGTTGGAAGGCACATTCTACCATTTAGCAAGCATTTTTTTTGTTTTGTTTTGTTTCCGGTACCGGGAGTCGAACACGCGACCTTGCGCTTGCCAGGCAGGCGCTGTGCCGCTGAGCTAACTCCCCAGCCCTTAGCAAGCACTTTACTGAACCTGTCTTCTCCTGGGTTTTCTCATCAGTGAAAAGGACGCTTACACTTATTCCAGTGATTCATCACGGCATAGTAATACCTACCCCGCTAGAAAAATTTAGTGGCTGAAAAGAATTATTAATTATCTTCTCTCAGCTTTCTCTGGACTGGCAGGGGTCTGCTGAGTTGTTCTCAGGGGCCACCATTCTGATGCAGGCAACAGGAATGGGAAGCGGTGAGAGCTGTAGGGTACCGGCCATCTGCTGTGTCTCACTCGCAAGCTGGTTGCTGACTGGGTCCTGGTTGGGGCTCCGTGTACACTGGGCCTTTCCGTGCGGCTGCAGCTTCTTCACAGCATGGAAGCCTTATTCTGACCTCAGAGCTGTGCAGAGATTCCAGAGAATGAAGCAGAAGATGCCAATCACCTTACAGGCTAGGGGTGGAAACTAGTGCACTGTCTCTTCTGCCCCTCGGTCCTTCAACCAAGTTCATAAGGCCAGCCCAGCGCTGGAAGTGGGCTCCACATCTTAATCATGATACAGGGGGAAAATAACTCCCAACCTGCTAGATGTCAGATACACTGAGTTTGTGCTCCCCCAAATCGAAGAATAACTGCTAAGGAGCGATGGAGGTTAAGAGTAGGAAAAATTTATTGAGAGAGCTCCTGAGAGATAGGAGGGAACCCCAGAGTGGGTTGCCCAGGAACCCACTTCTCAGAGGAAGTTTTATAGAGCAAAATCACAAGGTGGGTACAAAGTCACTAGGTGGGCACACCAAGGGTCAAAACTATGATCCACCAATAAGATTCCAAGAATAGCCACTTGGGTAATATTGATCCAGTGGGGAGGCAGGTCATGCAGCAAGTGTACATGGAAAGAACAAAGACTTTTTTAGCAAAGGTTGGAACAGGGGCTGGGGATTTAGTTCAGTGGCACAGCGCCAGCCTGGCAAGTGCAAGGTCATGAGTTCAATCCCTGGTACCGGAAAAAAAATCAAAAAAAAAATAAAAATAAAAGAGGAAAGGATGGAACAGGAGGTCTTAGTCATCCACCTGGGTGACTGATGCAGACTTTATTGGACCAGGTGATACCAATTGTAGTATAATCTTCAATTTATTGCTAACCCTTGGGGAGACAGGTAGGCCTGGTCATTCCATCTTCACCTTGAGGCCTGGCCTTTGACAGACGTGCCTCCAGCCACAGTTGTAACATGTTAGCATCTTCTGCACTGACTTCCTCGAGGGCCTAGCCCTGTCTGCCTACTATAATATTTCTACCTTAGCTGTCTATAATAATTAGAAGAGTAAATTATTAGCAGTAAATAATTTCCTGCCATCCTCAATCTACTTCAAGTATAGTATCAACCACCTGGAGTTTTGTGAGAATTAATGGAATTAAGCCATTTACTATACCTAGACCAAGGTTTCACATTATTTATATATATATGTATATATATATATACATATTTATATATATATATAATGAAAATTAGTTATTCGTGACAGCACACACCTGCGATGCCAGCACCCTGGGAGGCTGAGGTAAGAGGACTGCAAATTCAAGCCCAGCCTTGGTAATTTAGCAAGATCCTGTCTCAAAATAAAAAAATAAAAAAGAATGGAAAATATGTTTCCAAAAAATTTTAGCTTTTACTCTCTAGGTCCATGTTGCGTTTTATTTCTTTATTGCATATATCCCAATCTTACCAAATTGCTATTTGTGTATGTCTGTATGTGTGTGTGTGTTTATTGTTCCTCCTACCCATATGTAAACTTAACATTCATAGCAAGTTGATTTTTTCCAGGGCTTGAAGTGTGTCTATGAAATAGTGACAGCACCACAAGTACCTAATGACTGAATGAGTAAATGAACCTCCAGCAAATACAGAACTGGAGAAGATAAATATTCGGGATGTTTGGTTGTGGAACAGGGGACAGTTTGGATGTGGATCATGGAAGATTATGGGCAGAGTGGTTGATATGAGTTATTTAATCATATTAAAAATTAGGCTGAATATCCTTTCTATGCAGAGCAAGTTGTGTGTGTGTGTGTGTGTGTGTGTGTGTGTGTGTGTGTGTGTGTGTGTTGCTGGGGGTCAAATCTAGGGTTTTTCACATCCTAAGCAAGCACTCTATCACTGAACTACACCCCCAGCTCTCATATGAGTCAGTTTTCATCTGCAGCTGTCCTTGAAAACAAAAAATATATGACTCAGGCCTACTTTGCCTCTAAAATTGGCAAAATTAGAAAATTACATGCTGTCACCCATAGGCCTTAGAACTGACAGGTCAGGGCTTGAAACTTCTCTGCTCTTTGCTTGCTGTGTGACATGAAAAGTTTTTGACTTCTCTGAGTGGTCAAATCAATTAACAAGGCATACCTCATGGGATTCCTGTGAGAATTAGATACAGATGACAAAGAGATTCAAAATATCAGATATAATTTATAAATATGTACAAATCCTCCAAAATATTAATGATAAGGAGACTTTACTGACATGAATTTTAATTTATTTATATTTTATGTTACATTAAGTGGGTTGCTTTTTTTTATTTTTTTAAAAACTCCTTAGTTTCCAAACACATTAGAAAAGATTCAAATAATATTAAGCTTGTTTCTTATGGCTCAGCATTCAGCGTGTTAGTATATAGGCAAGGAAACTAACCTGTCTACTCCATACATCTCAGTCCAAGAAACCAAAACTAAGTATTGAATAAGTTTTAAAAACTATGGTAAAAATAAGTGTTTGTATTCATTAAAAGAAACTGTGGAAGGGAAGTGAACATCATCTTAGAAGAACAACGTCCTGGAATTCACGGGAAATTCCCCAGCTCCAGTCTCTGTGGTGAGGATATCCGAATGTAAATTACTTAATTAACCAGATGGTAATTGTTAAATAGTTCAATAAATTCAAAGCACTCAGAACTTTGGGGAAAATTTTTTTTTAAATTTTTTGCAGTTGCAGGGGATCTGATTAGACCCAAGATCTCACACGTGTTAGGCAACTTTTCTAACATGAAGCTCTATCCCCAAGCCCTACTTTGGGGATTGTTTTTTGCACTTTGGGGAATTTTTTTTTTTTTTTTTCTCGGTACCGGGGATCGAACTCGCGACTGTGCGCTTGCCAGGCAAGCGCTGTGCGGCTGAGCTAAAGCCCCAGCCCCCTTTGGGGAATTTTTAAAGGGAAAACTTTGTTTTTTTTTTTTTTAGAACTGTTAGGATTTTAAATTCAATTTTTGACCAATTTATTGACCAAGATAATGATAATTTATTCCCCCAAATGATAGGAAATGTAAATTAATAATATATTTAAATCAAGATTGTTGATTTTTAAATAAACATATATTTGTAAAAATTCATGATGGGTATATTGGGTAAAAGTTTTGTCTATTCCCTTGCTTTGAAAAAGCTTCTAATCCTTCTTACAGTGAGGCTGGGGGTGTCCTCAGTGGGGAAGTACATGCTTAGCATGCATTAGGTCCAGGGTTCAATGTCCAGCACTAGTAAAACCACTAGATGACAAAATCATTTCTCCGTAGAAACATTACTCTGGAAAACTAGTTGGAAAAAAGATTGCCGCTTGGGGGCGGGGGGGATTTAGCTCAGCCGCACAGCTCCTGCCTGGCACGCTCAAGGTCGTGAGTTCGATTCCCGGTACTGGGAAAAAAAATAAATAAATAAAATAAAATTGTGGAACAAAAAATCATGTATCTTCAAACAGAACATATTCATCACACATGTTACATATTCCTGGCAGTAGATGGTAGAACATATATTCAGCACTCACATCTGATTGGATCAAATCATTAGGGTTCATTTCTTCAGCAGACATTGGCATTCATGTTGTATCTATAATTCTTGTACAGAAGTGCTAGCAAAAGTAATTTGGGGTGTTTTCTATTTCTTCCTTCCTTTCCTTACCCCTTCAGAGAATGACTACAATTTTACTTCTTTGTTTTGTTTTGTTTCAATTTTACTTCTTAAAATTATAAATCCAGATGGTAAGAATTTTCAGGGAAAAGTGTTCATAAACATTCACCTGTTCCTTTCGTAGCCATAGTAATGGTAACAAACACCTATAGTTTGCAGTATGATTTTTTTCAATCTATCTGACTGAAACAAAAGGCTTTTAAGAGAGTTTCAAAATCCAGTCTAATATTTCAGTTGCTGAACAAAAATACTGCTGTTCCCTCACTTAGAAAGACTCATCACCAGGGTTAAGACCAGACGAGGGAGTGACTAGTCTCCTGGAATCACAAATGCACAAACAATTAATTTTCTCTACTGTTTTTACGGAAAAAAAAAAAAAGAGGGGGCTAGGGATTTAGCTTAGTGGCACAGTGCCTGCCTGGCAAATGCAAGGTCATGAGTTTGAATCCCGGTACCGGAAAAAAAAAAGGGGAAAATAAAAGCTTTCTTTCACACTAGGCAAACAGCAACTGGATTAGTCTCATAAACTTAGATATCCTAAGCAGTGTCAGTATTTAGGCAGATTAGGTTAACAGGCCTTATATTATCATCCAAGGGAAAGAGAAAAAAAGGAAAATATACCCAGAGTCATCTGCTTAATTGGAGGAGATGGGGAGATGAAGTTGCTTAGATTAAGTTCTTTTGGAACAGTTGCAAGATCCACAAAATCTGTTTTTAGCTCAGTCATTCATCCTTTTGGATGTGTGATGTGTTTTCAATTTAATGATAATTGCCCTTTCCATTTCTTTGATAATTGCCCTCTCTATTATCATTTATGGAGATTCAAATTATAAATCAAGACAAGACAGCCAGAAAAATATTATGATTGTCCCTTCTGAGGCCACAGCAAACTCAGGCAACGCTGCCAAAGTCTGAGCGCTTAAGCTATTTTCATTTGCATGTTTCTGAACATTTTATTTTAGGGTCCGATGGTTTTCCTAAAGAGCAGGATGCATGAATGATAATGTGGACAGAGGATACAAATTTAGCTCTGACTCAAGTTTAAGCTTGTCTCTGAAACCAGAATCTTGTTCTTCTGACTGAAAACAAGGTGTGGAGTCAGCCACAGATATTTGCTGTCCATCATGGGAGTCACCATGGAAGACACTGCCTATTCCTGTTTCCCAGGGGGTCCTCCTCCGGCAGCACTCTACCACTGTGGGAAAGAAATGTATTCTTCTCACTGAATATGCTCCATGATCAACACCAAGAGGTGTGTGGAAAGATATGCGTGAGCTTTTATCATTGCAGGAAGCTTCTCCCAAAACAAAAGAGAGAGATCAAAATGCATACCCAAGAATGGCTCTTTGAGATGTAAGGTGCTCTGCCAGGAGCTTAGATCTACTTGGGAGGTCCTGTTATTCAGGCTTTTGGCAAGCTGTTTGCTCCCCTAGAGAGGCACGATTACAAATAAATTTGCAAAAATTTAGATTGAAATATTATATTAAAACTCAGGTTAAAAAACTCATCACTTCCTGATTATTGTAGTACATATTATTATTTTCCATGGCTGTTTGTTTGTATGATTTACAGTGCTGGGGGTCAATCCCAAGACCTCGCCCATGCATGCTAAACTACCCCTGAGCTACCTTCTTGAAGGTAGTCTACCCTATACTATTCATGTTAGAAATACCCTAAAGGGCAATGTCTTCCCAACTCTGCATCCTGTGATTTACACTGGTAGCTAACAGGGTGGATATTAGAAAATAATCCTAAGGATGGTGTTTATACCATCTCCACGGTGAAATGCTGCAAATCAGTGCTCTTCCCCCAGCCAGGGATTGACAAGCATTTTGCAGCCCATCTATGGATAATAATAGTTTTGTGAAAGAAAATGCTTCAGAGCAGGATGGGGGGGCGTTCTTTTTGGCTTCATGAGTAGCTATCTGGTTTTTGTTTCATTTTGTTTTGTTTTTGGTACCGGGAATCAAACTCAGGACCTTGTGCTTGCCAGGCAGGCGTTTATGCTGCTGAGCTATCTCCCCAGTCCATGAGTAGCTATCTGAACTAGGGCAGTTCTCTTAAATTCTTTGAGGCATAATTTGTCATTTTCCTGCTTACTACCCTGCAAATTCTTTTACTACGCAGAGAATAAAGTCCAAAATCCTTAGGGTCTTTTTTTAACGTATCTTTCTCCAGGATTTCTTTAAACTCCTTGAATCCCTCAACTTCCTAGGCCTCAAGATCCTCACGGGGGGGGGGGGGGGAAGGGGCTTCTTTTCCTTCTTTATCGTGGTAATTCCTACCCTGAAATGACACTTTCTCAGGATAGACTTCCCTGATAGCAATCTTCTCTATCTCCCCTACAAGAGTTTAAGGCCCTGGATTACAAACTCTCACACCTCTTTTAGCACTTTTCAAGAGTGTCATAAAATTGTTTTGCACATAGTTATTTGCTCCATAGAAAATTCCCCCTCTCATCTATATAGCTTATCCCCGTCCCCACTGTCAACTAGCCCTGTGCCTAGGGATGTCATTTTACTAACCTAACCATGTAGCTTTAATCTGGAGGGATTTTGTTTCATAATAGCAAACTCTCTTTTCAAAAATCACTTATTCTGGGTTAGGGGTATACCTTGTGCTAAAACATGTTTGAGGCCGCGGATTTGATACCCACTGCTGAAAGAACAAAACAACAACAAAAACTCTTACAACCTGCACAGTTCCTAGAGACAGAGACTCAGCCTGAAATCTCTATGCTTAAGGTTTTTGTTTTTGTTTTTTCTGGTGCTGGGAATCAAACTCAGGATCTTGTTCTTGCCAGGCAGGTGCTTGTGCCGCTGAGCTACATCCCTAGTCCCTGTGCTTGAGTCTTGATTCTCCTGCTTCTGAGCTGGGTAGCCTTAGCAACGTTTTTAGCCCTACATTTCCTGTTGATGAAATAGAACTAATAACAAAATCTATTTCCTAAGGATAATTGTAAAAAATTAATTAAACTGAAGGGCTTATGGCAGTGCTGATGATGAAGGAATCAGTTCTTAACTGTCTGATCCTACCCCTGTTTGCTTTAACTCTAGTTAGACTTTTCCCTACTGATGCTATTTTCCAGAATCTCCACCTCTGTGGATTATGAGTCTCCCTTACCTTTGGTGACTTTAGACCATCCCACACCTCTTCTCCTGGAAGCATGCTGAAATGTCCTAGCTCCTGTTTCTCCCCTAATTTATGACATAACATCTCCAGCTGCTTGCTGCCATTTTCAAGAGCTTTTGTGACACATCAGGCAAAATGTGCCACACCCAAATTCATCATGACCCCATCATCTTTCCTTTAACTTCTCTAGTTTTGTTAATAGCACGCTAGTTTCTTCAGTGAGGGACCAAGTCCTTAATTTATCTATGTCTCTTCCTTTCCCCTACTGCATGTCTCAGCAGTTGTCAATTCCTATTGTCTCCAAAATACCTCTTGCATCTTTTCCTTTTAATTCCCACTGCTACCACCTCGTCCAGGTCCTCATTAATCTCTTTCTTTTCTGGACTGCAACAATAACCTACTATCCTATCTTCACTGTGTTAGACTCAGCTCAAACATACCAAGAATTCTTCTAGAAGAATTGGACATCCGTAACGTCTGTTTCTGTTTTAGGTGATGTTTTATTGGTAGCTTTTCTTCAGAACACCAGACCTTACCCAACTGGGATTACCTCTGCATCATCAGTATCCAATAACATTAAGAATGAAATATAACCTATTCTTATCATTGTTATCATATGAGCATGCTGTATTATTAATATGGAATTTCATTATTGAAAATAATGCTGTTATATTTTAGACATTACTAACATTCCTGGTTGGGTTAATTATTGAACAAATCTGTCTCCTGTCCTTGCTTTGATCTATAGTACACACACTTCATCTGCCTAAATTGGATTTCTGGTTCATTCACTCTCTGCTTAAGCGTCATCACTGCTCCCAATTGATTGCCTGCTATCTACGGCCCAATCCTGAAACACGAGACCCCAATTAAGAGAGTGACTCACTTCTATGAAAGTTTCGTTCCACCCAGAATATTCTAGGAGTTGTTGTTTTAATTAGAGAAAAGATATTAGTTGTGATTCCAAAGCATCCTCAGGCTGTGGTATGCAGGTCACTCTTCTGCCTGCTCCTGAATAGAAGGTGCAGTTAGTTAGGAGGTACCTGTCATAGTCCAGGCAGGAAGGCTTCTGTCAAGAAAAGAGATGCATATATTGCAACCAAAATAGTAAAGCTGTGGAGTTTCCCTACAACTTTTCCAAATAATTTTTTTTTTCTTTTGCAACTATAAGACAACCTAAGATGACACTGAAGGTTTCCTTTAACTCCTTTCACTTCAACTCTTCCCCAGCTCAGAAGCCACTGGCTAACCTTCCTCTCTCACCTGGCTTTATTTTAATTCTGACACTTTTTTGGCCATGAATTCTGCATCCTTTTCTCAGTGTTTACTCATGATGAGCCTTTATTTCTTTGCATTTAGAAGATGAAAATGTTGGTCCCATACTACTTAGAACTTGCTGTTTCTTGAATCTTTCCCCTATATTATAGCTTACATTACACTTAATAGGTTTGGAAAGTCCTGGTTTTGTATTTTTAACACTGATACTATCACTACATGAGGAATAATAGTTACTCAGGCATCAGACTTATTCATTAAAATGACAGTGCTTTCATTATAGAAATGTTTTCAGAGAAATTGATTTCAAAATCTGAGGAAATTCAGAGCTGAATGCAACGGTGTATAGTCCCGGGTATTTGGGAAGCTGAGGTGGGAAGATTACTTGAACCCACAGTGTGAGGTCAACCTGGGCAACATAATAAGACTTTGCCTTTAAAAAAAATTCTCTTTTGGGAGGAAATTACACCAAAAGCAGCTTTCTTCTAAATAGTTTTTATTCAACACTATTATTGAACGTAGTATTCAAAGGAGACTTATAAGTCCTGGGCTTATAAACAAGGTATTCTCAAATTAGCAAAAATTACTTATTTTGTACATGTGATTACATTTAATCAATGCTGCCTTCATTAGATTCACTCACAAAATTAGTACCATATGTATTTCCTGTGTTTAAAAGACACATACAAAAATTAACTCTATCTCTCATAACAGCTAAATTACCCAATATGGTGTTTATTGAGCCTTATCCTGTATGAATCACCTTGAGAGAAAATACTGAAAATTTCTAGAATGCTGTGTTTTCAAATATAAAAGCCCATTACAAAAAATAGCAATCTGGCTATGGGTTTGAAAGCTACATTCCTTACTGCAAGTATCAAGAGTTACTCAGCTCACCTCCGCCCTCATAGAGATGGCACAGTAAAATAGCCAGTGTTAATTCCTTCTAGAACGATGAGCTTTCTTTGACAGATGAAAATGTCCCTCTTAGGGGCTGGGGATTTAGCTCAGCGGCACAGCGCCTGCCTGGCAAGCGCAAGGTCGTGAGTTCAATTCCTGGTACCGGAGAAAAACCAAAACCAAAACAAAACAAAACAAAACAAAAAAAAGAAAATGTCCCTCTTTCACTAAATTGTGCAATCCTATGTCCATCACTTCTTTGAAATGTTAATTTTACCTCTATTATATAATCATCAAATGAAAAACTTGGCACAAGTACAACTTAAGTGCTACTTTATTCTTTAGCACTTCCAACCATAACCTAAGATTTTTATCTCCATCACTAAGTAAACTTAACAAGAGCTGTGTAAAGCCTGGGTATGATTCTGTAGGAAAGCTTCCTTTGCTAGTTTTCATGGAACTTTCCCAGCCACGTTAGAACCTAATTATTATAAGTGGTAGTAACGAGCACAATTCAGTATTAGACAGATTTGTCTTCAACTCTTATTTTGAAGCTGCTTTGCCAAGAGCAAGGACTTATTCATGAGCCTCGGAAAAGTATCCCATCAAGGTCACCTTGAAGAAGAGCATTGTGTTCATTCTGCACCTACCATTTTAAGACCAAGCATTAAAACCTCATTCAGAAAGTACTTTTTTATTCTTTTCCAGTTCATATCAAACTTACAGCATGTTGAAAAGCTAAAAATGGCTGATCTCCAAGAGCTTATTTTCTTGTTCCCTCACAAGTAACAAAGTCAAAGAGATCTGTATGTATTCTTTACAACATATTTAAGTTGAGGCTATGAGTGATATTTACAAGCACTTTTAAATTCAAGAAATAACTGATAACAAATCTAACCTCTAAGACATATCAATCAGTAGCTGAGGCTGTATCTCCATGGTACAGTGTCTGGTTAGCATGTGTGAGGTCCTCAGTTTATTTCCCAGCCCCACAAACCAACACGATGGAATAAAATATATAAGTGCTTATTCCATCTTGTAATTCTGTAGTTTAGAAATCCACTGAATAAGTCTTTTTAATAGGCAGTCATTTCTCGGTCAGGAATCTTGATTAACCTTATTTCTGTTTTAGGCCTGAAATAGTGCTGATTTTCCATTGCAGGCCTGAGACTCGCTTGATAGAAAATCCATCCATCTACACACTGCTTAATTAGGAGTGAATTTTAAAGTATTCAGAAGCTACATATAATACTTTGACTTTTAGAGACTAACTTGAGCAAGAGAGCAATAATTAGTTAACAGGCCACAAGTTGGCAACACCATCTCACTGCTTTGAGGAATTTCACTAACTGCTACATCTCACCATTTCTATCCCAAGCTAGCAGTTTACAATTTGCAAGATCTTTTTGACTGGAATAGGAATGCTCGAGACAGAGAATGATATTCCTTGGCAGCTAATTAAATACTAATTGCTTCATTAGTAATAATCAATAAATAATGTGTACACCATCAAAAATAAATGAGGTAAATACATTCATTTTATTTTTTTAAAAAATGAATATTTCTCAGCTACAAAGGAGGGCTGATTTGCCATCCTTCCTTTGGGCACCTGTCTGAGATCATGAAGTCTTAATTGTCAGAGGGTCAGAAAATATTGGGAAGCATTTACAGTTGAAATTGTCCAGAAGCTGAGAGCAGTAGCCAGTAGATGCTGCAGGAAAAGATCCTATTACCAGTATGCAAAAAATAAAGTGTGATTCTTTAATACTAATTACAAACAGACCCTTGCCTTTCTTTAGGTAACATATAACTTCACTTTCAATCTGTAATCATCAGCAAGTGGGTACCATAGCCAGAAAGGTAAACTTGCCCTTACATTCAGAGTCAGAATAATTGACAGCTGAATGAGTCAGTGGTCTTCAAGGATCATTAAAGGGAACAAAAAAAAAGTTTGTTATCATCAGTGTATTTTTAGCCTATTCTCACTTTGGATCTGAGAGATCTAATTATCTAAGAGGAAAGAAAACCGGAGGCGTTTTAACTTTTATGTTTAAAATGTTGCTTGGGTTCATGTTGATATTAACTTTATGAACGCTTCATTCTTGTACATCTGTCCTTCCCTCCCTTCAGGGCTAGTTTCTGCTTTGGCCTCATACCTCCCTTTGCTGGAGAAACAGGTGCTTAGCTTCACAGGGCCCTTTCCCTCCTATCCCTAGCACAGAAAGAAAAGGGTTCAGGAGCGATGGTGGCAGTTTTCCCGAGGTTGGCCTGTATTTTCACTCTTAAAGCAGGTGCATCAGTGGTTTGTCTCATGACTAACAAGATAAGAGTGCAATTGATCTTTTTATTAACCCATCTCCCCAGGAGGGTGGCAGCCTGCTCCTCCCTCCCGGGTTCCATTACATTGTTCAGTTTCAGGAATCATTGCAGACCCTATTGCTTTTTTGTCAGAGCTCATAGTTAAAGCACAGGGGCGCAAACTCAGATAGTCTGTCTCACCTACATTTTATCCTCTCTCTACCTCCAAACTGGTAAATGCCACAATGATTCGAATCTGACACAACACAACCTTTAACGGATGTGCTAATACATCTTGGCTCCTGCTGAACTTCTTTGCAGGCTCAATTTGAACTGTGGATTTCTCTGTCTTTCCTCTAGGTCACAGACTACCTATTCTAAACCTTCTGACTAGTTCTGAAGAGTATGGAGCTTACATAGATTCCTAAGGTAAATGATCAATTTCTAAGCAAGACATAATGGATTCAATTTTGGTATGAATTCAGGCATTGTCTAAATGGGTTGTGCACTATCTGTCAGTGATTTTCAAAGTTAAGATACTGGGTAAGAGGAGTATCCTTGTGCTTCTGAGTAGTGACGAGGAAATAAGAAAGGATGCGTGTCAGGTTATCTGTCATATATTGCTTCAGGCTGGCTGCTTACCTTGATTTCTAATAAAAGCATTCTTGGGATCTTAGGAAGCTCCTTCCTTGGGATATGCCTGGACATCACAAGTCACAATGCTCAAGTAGAGATCAATTCAAATTGCATTTTCACAAATGAAGGCAGGAACTGTGGGGACGCATGTCTTTGTAGCAGTAGGATGAGGCACAAAACGTCCCACCTTGGCAGTTTCTATCTTCACAGGAGGTAGGAGATGAGTTAGTATGGGATAAAGGAGCTTACAGAGCACTGCCTCATTTCTGCTTACCTCAGTGACATTCACCATTTGTTTACCCCGTTCTGATTTAAAAGCTGTATGTTCCTTGGAGCTATCACTTCTATGTTAAGGTACCCTCGGAGAAGATCTGCGGTTCCACCTGTAGCAAAATGACCAAAAGCCTAAGCTTTGGCATCAACCTAAATTCAAACTTGCATGATTTTAACTCAATCAATGGTTGTACATTGTACCATCTATAACTGTGGGCTTCAAATTTCCTATCTACCAAATGAGAAAAATAATACTACCTGTTTCAAAGCTCCCTGGCATAATAGATATATACCCCTTAAAATACTGCTTGGTGCTGTATGTGTTGAGCACTAAATTTACTGATTAAAGCACGGTTGTGCCATCTCCCCATTCCATTTGTCTCAGGATCTCCAGGTCCCTGCAGTTGACAAATATGGTGGTTATGGGAATTATGATTATTATTTGATGGTGCTGGGAATTAAACCCAGAGAGTCATCATGTTAAATACACATTTGAGATTGAGATGCATACCCAACCCTGTGGGAATTACTGAGGAAACCAAACCCGCAAGTCCCCTTTAGCAGCCCCTCTCTTAAAAGAGTTATATAATGCTTACGCATAAATGCCAGGAAGGAAAATAATTGGCATTCCGTTGCCTTTTGAATGGGTCCTGCTGACCCTGCCTGCTGTGATGTGGAAAGTGACCTGAAAGTGAGGAGCTTGCCAGCTTGGCCCATGGGGTAGTTGGGGCATCAATTAGAAGCTTCGGCGTCATTTCAGAAACATGCACACACCAATTGGCACAGAGTTTCAGGAAGCAGAATAAAAAGGAAACTACAAAATAAAAAGCCTTTCAGGGGATGGAAGCGCCATTCTCCCAAATCACAGCGATGATTATGATCACCATTAGAGCTTAATGAGCCCATATATGGCTAATGACTTCATCTCTCCAGTAAGTAGATTTGCCAATAGTCCACATTTCCACTCACGTTCATCCTTCTTTTCTAGGAAGTATAACCGTTGTGGGAAAAGATGAGAAGAGAAGGCGCCATCTAATTTCTCCTCCCCCCATTAGGAAAAGCATATTTCTCACTTCCGCCCTCCCCTTATTTCCTTTCAGGAATAAGGGTAACATTAAAGAAAGTTACACCCGGGTGTGTTTTATAAAGCCCCAGATCACCTGGGTTCAGTCCAGAACTGGCCATCTTGGACCTAGCTTTCTCCTTTCCAAAGTGTAATTGGTCACTGTCCTATTTACATTTATCAAGTGATAATCCTGTCTCCAAAGTCCATATTTCCAGTTCTAATTGCATACTCTCAATTGTTTTTTCAAAGATAATATTAAAAGTTAAAGTCTGTGAAAGTGGCATCTTACATGTGTAGAAGTACGATTTATTTTATTTAGATATTTATTACCAATGCTATCATATATTATAGCTATATTTGATTTCAATAATCTGGGCTGGGTATTTAGCTCAGCGGCACAGCGCCTGACCGGCAAGTGCAAGGTCATGAGTTTGATCCCCGGTACCGGAAAGAACAAAACAAAACAAAACATTTCAATAATCCAAATGCAGAATATGGTATTATATGATTTAAAAAAGTCATCTAGTAGGACAGTAAAATCAGTTAGTTTAATAGGTAAGCTCTCAATTGAAGTTAGAATCTTTTAAAATTAAAAATA